GGGGGCAGTTGTCAAAAAACTATGATTCCTTTTGGTTGTTAAAACGGTCCACAACAAGTCACTTTGGATAAAAGCCTCTGCTAAATGACTGTAATGTAACAAGTGCGGTACAGTACCCTGTTTCCTGGGGGACAAACAGGATTGGATATTCATTCATATCTTCATGCATATCATAAACAGAGCTGGCAGCAGAGAGAACCACTAGCCGTCACCAGAGACTGAGAACATCACACCCCGCACCGCCGCGTCACCCTAATCTAAAATTAGGACGTCATTCGGAGTTTGCAATATGCATGAAGCACGTGTGGCCTCAACCTTCCTAGTAACCTTAACGTTGTTTCCCACCATTCAATATTAACACAAGGCCAGTCGAGCACTTATGTTAGCGGAGGCCCGAGGGTCACATACACACAGCATCAGGGCAGGGAACTAACATTTCTGATCACCATTCAGTTAAACATCTTAATACTGAACCAGCAATTTACCATACCTGCAATTGTCTAGTGTGGCATTTCCCACTATTGGTAGTAATCTGAATAGGCTGAGGTGAAGTCCTATTTTTTTTTTTAATGGTTGTTAATGTATTAAGAAACATCTTTAGTCTAACTTTATATTTGCAAACGGCTGAGAGGCAGAGGCGCCACTCACTGAGGGGTGGAAAACGAAGAAGAGTATGAAGCATCCAAGAGGTTGCGTTTCTGTTCAAACCAATTATTTATAGGGCAAGCAGCTTAGGAGGAGTAATTCGGAGGACACGGGGTGGTGTAGGATTAGCACCTAGAGTGACGCAGAGGGGCTCCCTCACTACCACTCAGCCAAAGTGGGAATGGACATGTGGCGTCTACGTTGATCTATCCTAATGTGGTCCATATATAAAGACACACAGGTACACGCACATAAACTGGACTAGAGGTTTTCAAACTGTGAGACATGCAATTTACGATTAATTTCATTATTTATTAATGGATTGTCTGCTTTATTAAAACATCAGAAAATAGAGAAAAAAAAGTCCATGGTGACATCATCAAATTTCTTTCCAGTTTACTGAGATATAAAAGCCAAGGACAAGCAGCGAATGCTGCCATTCGAGAGGCTGTAACCATTAAATGTTTGAGTTTAAAATGATTGACTAATTGTTGCAGATCAAAAAGTAATCCAGTTTTACGAGCTAAACTCAGAATGAATCTACAAATTACGATAAAACAACACTGCACAAACGAGTGGTAGAAAAAATAAATTAAAAAAGAAGTATGGAAATAAGTGTGCCTCGGTGGATGTGAAAAGCGGGCCGTGACTAAAGGAAGTGATTCAACAGATAGCCCACGGAAACAGAGACACAAAGCACTGCAGAACAGACGCATGAAGCAATAGCCAGGTGTCTTCATCCAGCTGGGCTCATGAAAACGGCCGGCACCAGAAATGCGTCATAAAGAAAGTACGGGGATCAGGAAGTCGTCTCTAGGATGCGAACACAGCAACAAGCATAGGTGGCTGTTAGAGGATTACCTGCGTCTGGGAAAATAAAGTGTCTCTGGCCCTGCAGAGACACCCAGCAGCCCCCCCCCCCCCCCCCCGACATGAGGCAAATAATGAGCGTGGGGGTGTTTTTCTGTGTTCCTCTTTAAAAGCAGACATCAGTGCACTCTTCAACCGGACACGGACTGAACCCATATACAAGTGTCTTCCCTAGGGGCACACGAACATATACACATGCAGTCAAACAGCTGGTTCTTATCACCGCTACAGTGCATTCTGCAACTACGGATAAAGTCCCGTGTAGCATCCATAACGTTACTTTTGGAAACATTCTCAGAAATATTTCCCATTGGTGATTTCTGACAAGAAATCACAAAATATTTCACTTTTAACACAGACCCTACCAGAGCGTGGTAGACCTCCACGTTGCCTCGGATGCAGTGGCACAAAATAAATCGAAGGACAAAGTCTTTACCGTTTCGGCGGAACTGAAATCAATTGAGCCCCACAGTAGAGACACCACATGAGCTGTTGTGTTTGACATCTTCCTCTCACAGGGCCGTCTGTCTGCATGAGGGTGTGTCTAACAGGACCGATCGGGTCCCGTTAGAGAAACCCGTCAGTGACTCAGCGGGACATGATGAGACTTGTTCTTTTTGAATGAAGCGTGGTCTAGCAGGGAGTGGCTGTTGATAACAATCAGGGTGGGGAATCACCACGAGCCGCTGCCAAAAACCCGGGGAACCTTGGCCATGAAGGCTCGAACTTTAAATAGTCTATCCGTCGGCCACATTGGCAGGAAACGCAGAAAGACAAATTATTTTGAAGGTCATATTCGAAAAATCTATATCAGATGTTCATTTTGGAACACCGCCTTGTGTACAAAGCTGGAATCATTCGGCTTTCTGATGTAAACTCGGGACAATTCCTTTTGGAAAAAGACTTTCCATCAGTAACGGAGGAAATGAAATGGGCAGAACCTGCATCCAAACGAACAACAGACACGTGAAAACAGTCACTACAAAAGGGAACTTCGTCTCTAACTAAATCACTTCCACCATTTTACTTCTGAGTTAAGTAACGTCTCTTGTAATTGTTTAACTGTTGTAGTGTCCGGTACATTTGACCAACTGACTGACCCCAGCAGAGACTTCGCCACATCTCAGAGGGAGCCTAGATGTTGTTTCCTCATCTTTAGTGAGTTTATTATGACAACATTCATAAACATGCTGCAGGTCTGTTACTCCTCTAATAGTCCCAATAAGCAACATCACCGACATTGTTGTCTGGCGTCGAAACTATGCAGAGATTCAGAATGTCTGCCAGTTCAGCCGTGCGGCGCCTGCGTCCCTCAGTTTAGTCTGGTTGCACGTAGAACATCTGCTCTCGCTAAGTGCTGAAGCAGCAATCCAAATTCCATCCGTCAGTATCAAAGACAAGTGCAAGAGGACAAAAAACGTGGCAGCGGACCAGTGTTTTATCTCTGGAGGAATGTTATCTTCCGGGAAGGTAAGTAACTAATGGACACGACCGCCCCGATGTGAACAATCCACAGATCAGCAACTCCGAGATCCGGCGTTACCTTCTGCTTCAGTGTTGCCATTGCCAGTGACGGCAGACTCCTGCTTGGTCACCACGGGTGTAACTGCATTTACACTTACAACTAAGAACGTGTCTCCAGACTCCAGCCGATGTCCTTACGCGTTATTTATTTCACCATTTAAATCAATCCACATTGATGCGAGCATGCCCATTAAAGATATGAAGCGCACTGTGAATGCAGATGGATCCCTGACCATGGAGACAGACACCCTCTGTCCTTCTGCTTAGTGGGCAGTCGGTTTCTCCACAGAATAACCTAAAAAGCTGAGCAAGGAGGTTGAAACCCAATCACAAGTGGTCACTTGAGATGCATCAGAGTCAGACAGAGGGAGTGAAATGCAGCTGGACACCAGTGAGTCTCCACCACCTTCTTGCAAGTGCTGTGTGCAACGCATGCAATTAAGCAGAACTGGACAGTTGTGCGTGATTTTTGCAATGCCTTCACTTAGCATAGAAATACATTTAGGTGGATAGTATGAGCAGCGGTGGTGCAAGAATGACGTGTGTTGTGATTTAGTTGAAGACCCTCTCTCAGAACTACAACCACACGCTGGTATGTCTTACCTCCACGTCCACCGTTCCTGGACGAGCCTCGGCTCTGCGTGTCCTCCCAGCCTTCCCAGTATCTCCCCACACATCCTCCCATGGTTCAGAGGGCTGCGGATTGTTTCCACGCGTCGCACTAGCTGAACAGGGGGCCCATCGCGGCAGAAGACGGTGAACCAGGTCCGATGAAGAGGACGGGTCGCAGGTCCGATGCTGCAAGCCTACAGGTCACCCGAGGCGGCGGCAAGGACGGGAACACGCGGATGTTTAATAGCGATGAACGCATATATATATATATATATATATATATATATATATAACTGTTATACCATTAAGATCTAGGCTTACTATGAGTTTCCTCTCTTTACTTAAGAGTGCTGTTTGAGTGTGACACGACCCCACGAGACTCAAAGCTCGTGGCCCGCACTAACGTTATAAGAGTTTGACAAATCAGCGAGCAACCGAACCGTTTGTTTAAATGTTACAATACAAACTGAAACATGTCAGTCGTCTAACTTGCCTGCTAAGTTGGTCTAGTTGTGAAATGTGAAGTCCAGCGTTCCACACAGCGCGCACCTTTCCTCGCTAACAAGCTAACAGGGCCAACCAGCTAGCTACTAGAACACCAGTAAACACAAACTTCCGCGCACTCGTGACCATTTGCACGTTGATGCTGGAATGTCAGGAAGTACATCACGAATATCGGTCTACTTTTTGCTGAGTTTTGGAATTCTGACAGCACCTGAAGGCATCACCAAAAACTAATGTTCGGTTTTCATTTCAACATTCAGAAAACATTTCAGTTTCAAGCAACACACGCCTAACGCAATGGCCTCTGCGCAACATTGCATTGTTCGATAACAGCCCTGTTTTATAAAGGCTTGTGTACAATTTGTCACTTTTGCCTTTCGTCTCGCTCCTAACTTTTCGCGCATGCGTGATCTCAGTTGAGCTACAGTGGCACGATGGCTGCGGACAGCACCCTGCTGCTGTCTCTGGTGGAGGAATTTGTCTCGGGACTACAGGACAGCAAGGCCAAAGACACAGCAACATGTAAATACGTATTCCTCATATTTGCTTCGACACTTTTTCCAGAACACCTTGTTGCGAAAAACACGCCGTCGAAGCTTGCGGAGCTACCGCTTCAAGGATGCGCAACACGGAGCGGATGGTTAACGAGCTAACTTAGCGCCACAACATCCTGTGTGGTGTCACAACCTCGTGAAACAAACACACACGCTCACTGTGACACTTGTATCACGGTAACAGCACACACTTAATGTATCTCTAACGTTTTCTCGTAATGTCATTCGACTAGCAGCGTGATATTTCATGCTCCAGTGTGCTAACTAGCTGCTGTGTTTGTGTCAGAAGTAAAACATCCTGTCAATGAACTGTGGACCTTTGAACCCGGCCGAGGTCGTTAGTTAATCTGCAGTTCTGCGGCTACGACTTGTTTTCTGCGCGTATTTGTAGCTGGCTATCTTATTAGTGCTTTGCTACGATTCACTAAACTTGGCTTTCTGCTGCTCAGGTGTCAAAGATGGACAGTTTACAATACTGCAGCTGGTGGAGGCACTGGGGTAAGCCATCAGGATGTTTCCAACATTACAGCAATAACATAAACAGTAGTAGTATAATTATAAAGTCCCTCTGTCTGTTGTGCTCTTAAGTTGGTTTAGTGTGTGTTAGACAAGGGAGGTGGAAGGAATTGAATTATATTTAATTTAGCCAATGTCACCCTAAACAAATATGACGTCTTTCTCATGAATGGTATTCATTTACTATAAATGTAAAATTATATCCACCCTATATTGCGGTTTCCTATTCATTGATAATCATCACATTTCATACTCTTGAGTTGCTTTTGTATTAATATTTGGTAATGATGAACGTCTTCCGGTCCCTCTCTGTTCAGACTGAGCCTCACCAGCGTCCAGCCTCACACCCGAGCCAGAGGAGTCCAGCTTCTCTCTGACGTTTTACACGATTGCTATGGAGGTCTCACAGAGAGAGAAGGTACACATCTTCTCCTATGTTTTGTAGATCATCCCACTCTCTTCTTTACTCTTTGTTTGTTATTTGGGTGCAAAACCATCATAGAATTGTTGGCTTGTTTGGCTGATATATAAAATATTTTTAAAAAAGGAAACAAATCAGACATCTGTCGAAAATATCTTAAATAACCCGCAGTCTTGCGGAGCTGCATGTAACATATGAAAAGTGATATTTTATCAACATGTCTCTGTTCTCCCCAGTGGAAGTGCTCATTGCCTTCTATGAAGACCGTCTCAAGGACCATTACGTCATCACGCCGCCTGTTCTACAGGGGCTCAGAGCGCTGGTGAGTGTTTGCCTCCGACAAATTTTCAGTGACGACAACGACTGACACATCCTGCAAAAGATGAACTGACTGCCACGTTTGCACATTAGTTGCTGCTCGGCAGGTTTTGAGCATCCTTTTGAGAAGCTCCAGATGTGAGCAGGGAGACCAACGTGCACGTTGTGTGTTTTTATGCTTTTTCTCCCCAGACAAAATGTACAGTGTTGCCTCCTGGCTCAGCTGTGTCCATGCTGAGGTCTTTGTTCCAGGATGTTCACGTTCAGGTGAGACTTGACACTGTGTTATGATTAAGATGTCAAAGTTGTAGCAAGCCATATTTTATTTTAACATACACCGTTTTGTATGTGCAGGGGATACAAACAACAGTAGATTTGAGTTCAGTCCAATCGGAACATCATTTCTGTTCACGAGGAACAAAGACAGCTGATCAACCTGCTGTACAAGTCTATTATTCATCTGCTGCAACAAATGCGACCCAATCACGTAACCGGCGATCAATGGGCCATTCAAAACAAATGAGTCAATCAAACGAGAGTCACTCAAATGGGCCATTTAGGTGACACACAGCCGCACAGCCCTGATGTGTGAACGCAGCCTTCGAGCATGTGATGATGATGTTCTTTTTTTTTCCCTGCATGTCTGCGAAGCACTTCCTCTTCTATTAAGTATGCTTTGTTGGTAAACTTGGCTCATGAAAGTGTTGTTTAATTCTGGGTGTTGTGGGTAAGAGCTCACAGGGCCTGTTACTTTTTCTCCAGTCGTTGATGCTGACCGAGAGAGCGTGCGTCTACAACATGCTCATCAACCTCATGGCGACCAGAGAAGCCGGTAAGAGATGCCAGCTCTGAGTCTTGAGTCACCGTGGCTTAGTTAGCAGAGGAAAAAACAAAGCTTCTGTGTTTGAAAACGTAGGAAATCCAAAACAGCAGAGAGAGAGTTTAGAAAGTCAGAACTCTCACTAGTTGACTTAAACTCTTACCAGCCCTGTGATACGGGATAGAGTTGTGACAGCGTCCTCTGCTTTGTTTGGCGGTTGAATGATTTGCATGCACTACAACATAGACATACTGTACCAGAAGCAAATACAAGACTGACGGCGATCGTGTAATGCTGCCGGTATTTAGAAAGAACACTGCAGCATGTGTGATAGAACAATGTGACCTCACCTCGCTAAAGTAGAAGAAAACACAATAATACCACTGAAATAATAGCTTACTGTGTGTATCCATCGATTAGACGAATCCTCTGAAAAGTTCATATCTGGATTATAGAATCTTCAATGTGGAATATTTGAACTCTAGTTTGAGTCTTCCCAACATTATAAAACTGAATGATCAGCTTTCCATGTGATGCTGAGTGCTGGTCACAGATTTAGTTGTTTTTTTCCTCAGTTAATAACACAACGTATCATTTATTGTGCCTAAGCAATCTTCAACATACTTGTAGCTCATGCCCTACATCCTAACAACTTCCTCAGCTTTTCAGGAAGAGGTATGTGGTGTAATGTCTCCAAACTGGCGGTTGTGAAAACTTGTCACCACTCTTCAAACACTGTGTAAAACCAATAAATCTTTCAGCCGTCTAACAGATCATCCAACCAAACTGTGTGTTCCTGTTTCACTTGTCCACAGAGCTGAAGGGTCTGGGGGCAGACTTTGTGTTTGGTTTTGTCCAGTCGATGGACGGAGAGAGAGACCCTCGCAACCTCCTGTTAGCCTTCCAGATCGCCAGGACCATCGTCCTCCGAGGTTACGATCTAGGTGAGAGCGCATACCTGTGCACATTCAGCATCTTTCTCTGTGTCTCTGTCCCTCTCGCACATTATTGTGTTACTATCCATTGCACAGTTTGAGCATGACTCTTATGTTGTTCATTTCCTGTCCGCTGTCCTCAGGTAAATTCATAGAGGAGCTGTTCGAGGTGACGTCCTGCTATTTCCCCATTGACTTCAGCCCCGTAAGTCCCTATTTACTCAGCTGCTTTTTGCCTGAGAACTGCCTGAAAGCAGAGCGAGAGCAGCAGACATGTCATCACCGACTTCCTGTGGCCTCAGACTAACTCTGTAAAAACAATAGTACCCTCGTCTGCTCACGTACATTTCCTGTCTCTACATCACAGTCACGTGGGTTTTTTTGTGTGGCATAAGGACATTCTTCATGAATATGTGTAGGTGCCTTTATGATTTCTGTGTGTATTCTCTCTTATTATCCATCCTCCTCAGCCTCCCAACGACCCCCACGGCATCACCAGAGAGGAGCTCATCCAGATGTTGAGGGACGTCCTCACTGGGACGCGGCGGTTTGCAGAGGTAGGACCGTTTACATTGACATTTAGCTTCTTGGTGCAATGGCGGTTTTGTGACCTGAGAAGTTTTAGATAACGTCATTTTTCATTAATACGGCCTAAAGAGAGTTTTTTGTTGTTGTGTTTATTACTCACCCCCCCCTCCAGTTTCTGTTACCTCTCATCATTGAGAAACTGGACTCGGACGTTCAGAGTGCCAAGCTGGACTCGCTGCAGACTCTGGTGAGACGTCTCTATTAATCTCTACTCTTTCCCTAAAGTTTGTACATGTGGATTATTCACTGTGACTTATTACAGCTACAGCGGAGCTGCTGAGAGGCCCAGAGCAGGAGGGTTCATGTGCAACTTATGAAGTTGATGCAGGGTTTCTTATCTTTCTCATTACCACACTGGATACTTTTCAGGTGGCTGGCGTGTCCCAATATGAACATAAGGACGTAGCGGAATTCCTGGAGGGTCTGTGGGCGTCTCTGCGCAGAGAGGTTTGTTTTGAGATAAAAGTATACAAACCATTAATACTACTTGGGATTTATTTGGGTCTTTATGGCATCTTAGCTTGGTAAAGAAACATTTCAACATCTTGTTGAGTTTTTGTTCCGTTTGTGGAGATGGCATTCTGCTTATCTTTATTGCTAGGAATGAGAAACAAGAAGCATCTTTTAAAGCTGCATTCACATGAACCAACTTTGCTTCTCAAACTCTGCAGGGTTTAGTCTTTTGGTTTGTGTTGTTTGTCCAGTTGCCGGCAATAGCATTTGAACTCCAAAGTAAGGCTCCGAGACATGAAGATGTGAGTCGCAGTCTTCAAACAATAGAACTGATGGATGTCATTGAGAGCATCTAAAGGAAATGAGCCAAAACACAATGCTTTATGGGAAGAAGGGAACAAATGCAGTTTCTTATACTCTGAGAGCCAAGACAAACAAAGACTGGACTGATATTCATCAGTATTTACTTTTGTTCTTAACAAGAGAAGAGATAAATGACTCACGCTCCAGGCGCTGAAATCACTCATTTCAATTTCAAAATCAATCACAGAAATGTGTCAAAATACACTTTTTCATTCCAGTCCGACCGCTTAGATCAAAGTAAACAAACTGTTAATGTAAGCGTCTCTTTGTGAATCTGAAGAACCAACCCATTTAAAATGTCCCCCTCTTGTTGTTTCCTTGCAGGTGTTTCAGACATCGAGCGAGAAGATCGAGTCTGCCGGCCTCGCCGCTCTTACCGCACTCACTTCCTGTCTGTCTCGCTCAGTCCTCAACTCTGACTCTGAGGACTCCCTCAGCACCTTCCTGGATCTCGTTCTCAAAGGTGAAATGTTGTGAAATCGAGCTTATTCGCACAGGAAAACCGTTTTATAGGAAGGATGTAAGAACTCCAGCAGTGTATAAAACATGTCGAGGGAACAGTAGAAAGGCTGTGAGAGTGGTGGAGGTGAAATACATGAAAAGAAAATAACCTGCATTGAATGACTGTGAGGTGGTGAGAGAGGGTGTGTAGATGTACAAAGGGCTGAACTAAATAAGAACTGGGGTTAGTAGGTGGACAGGAAATTCTACCATCGTGACTGTTTGTTTAGTTCTCTTATTTCAACCAGCTGCTTGTACACCGCTGTCATGTTAACTGTGAACGAGATACAATGTTAGCCCCAGAGGATGGTTAGGAAGACTTATCAACCAGTATCACAGCTTCCATGACTTTTATAAGTACCTAAATGTAAAATCTATAATTCTTGAGAAGGTAGTCTTTATTATAGTCTTTATTATGATGATATAGACACTGGGATTTGAGGAATATTGGTTGATTTCTGAAGGCCAATATCCGGAATTATATTTTAGACAGAAATCCTTCACATCCCCCAAACCCGAAAAAGATAATCGCATGAATTTCTGCGTGAATTTTTATCTCTTTAGGGTAAAACAAAGCCAGTGAAACAGCATGGGAGACGATAATGAATGCGAATGAATGAAACCAGAGTATTTTAGTGTTGCCTGCTCTTAAGCCCTCTTAATCTTAAGTGAGTGCTCTACTTCAAAACATTTAGTTTTTTTACTGAATGTGTGATGTTGTTCCAGACTGCAAACATCACCTGTGTGAGCCGGACCTGAAGCTGGTGTGGCCCAGCGCCAAGCTGCTGCAGGCCGCCTGCAGCGCCTCCAACAGGGCGAGCCACGTCATTACAGACGCCGTCATGCCCTCTCTCATCGAGCAGTACAACAGCAGAGCACAGGTGAATGAGCACAGCTGAAACCCACATGGTTGGTTGGCTTTTAAGTTTTTAATTGAACTCTTTGTGCAGTGTTCCCACAGACGGACATTGCTGGAGGTGGTGCAGCGGTTTGTTCAGTCAGTAAGAACCTGTGAGAACGGTGAGTGCTGTTTATCGTTGTATTTACTTCAGAGCAACATCTTAACTCCACACCGCTCATGTGTGACCTCCATGTCTTACAGCTGCGCCCGCTTAAACACCAAGAAATAATGATACAAATCATCTACTTATACTACAAAGAACACATTTGTTTTGTGTGTGGACTCTGATAACATCTGCATTCCTCATCTTAAAAGCTTAATGTAGTTTATTGTCTCTTGACATTAAATCTTTTCCAGATGCACTGTGAGGTAATGTGTGTTTGTGTATGTATACTATGATAGTCCGTCATAAAGGAACTTCAAAAGGAACTATTTGCTCGTTATTTTAATGCTGTAACTGTGTTTAGGTGCTGTTTGTGTATAACCATGGAGACAAAAGATTCAGATTTTAACTCTTCTCTTCTGTTTCTTCTCGTCTGTTTCTTTTCTGTTTCATCCCTCCACATTAGAAGAGAGTGTGTTCTCAGCCTTCCGCCCGTCTCTGTGCAGCATGGTGTTTTCAGCTCTGACGGAGACTAACTCCAGCCTGCAGGTCATGGCCACCTCTGTGCTCACCTCACTGGCGCAGCAGACAGGTGAGATGCGATAAACTCTTCCATCCACAGCCTGCAGCTGAGTCGGGTGTAGTGCGACATTCAGCACTGTCTCTCTCTCTCTCAGGCCTGCTGTTGGACTCTGATGTTGAGCTGGCTGTAGATCACCTGACCAGACTGTTGCTAACGGAGGACGACGACAGAGTCAGGTCAGCTTCCATCTGCCTCTCCTCTGTCATCCTTACTGTAATACTGTGTTGCTATGTCTCTGCTGAAGGCCACCGGAGTTCTCTCACCACTAAACCCTACACACTGCTCCTTTAGAACTCATACTGTGCACTTTTAGTTTCGCTTCGATCCGAGTCGTTTATTATTGAGTATCTGCCGATACCGAGTCCAGATCCGATACTTGTGTTTTCATAGATGATACAGCTGCACACACTTCAAGTACATTAACATGAATCCAAAGCTTCAAAGCTCAATATAGCCGATTCGGTAAATGATATAATCCCTTGACTGGCCACGATACCGATCTCTGAGATTGGATCGGGACCACCCTACTAAACATAAATAGTACCCATCTGAGTCTTTGTGCTGTTTCTGCCTCCAGCCTTGCTGTGGTGGAGTGTGCCGGAGCCTTGGCAGGGTTGCACCCTGCAGCTGTTATCACGAAACTGATCCCAAGACTAAAGGCGGAGATGTTTTCTGGTAAGTGAACGCACTAAAAATATGACGTACGATGCAAGATCCACACAGAAATATACAGATACTGATACTTGTGTTATACAAGGCTTAACACAAGTATCATGGAGTAGCTGGACTTTTCCATGATTTATGTCTTTGTCTCACAGTGAATTCATTTAGTATTTTTTGACACCGATCAACATTAATATTATTTACATTTTAAAGGAAAACAAAACCCTACGAATAAATTACAAATATTTAAGTGTCCCATAATTCATTGCACGGGTAATTGCCCTGCGCCGCTAATGTTTATTTTTTTTAATTCCCCACTTCACATTCAGCCGACTGACACTTCATGAATGTGTTTTGTGTTTTGCAAACCTTCTCCTCTCCATTGTTCAGAGCCCATGGATCAAAACGACAACAGAGCAGCTCCTGAGAAGCATTCCCATCATGCAGTGCGCCAGCGCTGTTTGTCTGCTCTGGCTGCGGTGTCCACTCAGCCCAGTGTTGTCCAGGAGAGCACGCCTGTGCTGCTGGAGGTCCTCAGCTCAGCACACACAGGTACATCGGTGTGGAAAGATGGTTTTAGTTGGTTTGGTATAGATGACCCCTCATCAGGGTCACAGTCCATCTCAAACTGCACAAACATCTTCTTGGTATTGTGTGAAGATTTAAACATTTTCTCATAAATTGATATTTAGTGATCCATATTGAGGCTGAAGGCTTTTACAACATACAATAGCTAAAGCACACTTAAGATAGTTACGTATTAGTTTGCCTCCAAGTACAAAAAGCTGACGGTGAGGCAGCACAGAGGTTTGACGCAGTAACATTACCCATCAGATTCTGAAATGTGAGTGTCGGTACTGCTAGCCGATACTTCATTGCATCACATGACACACATCTGTGTCCCAGCCTAAAGAAGTGAAGTTTTAGATGAATGCGTTTCTTATTTTCTCAGGTAGTGTCGTTTTCTCCGTGGAGGAGGTGGTGTTGGCGTGTCATAGCCTCCAGAGAATAGCCGAGCAGGTTGAGGACTCCGAGGAGACGGGGCGATGCTTCCATGACGTCATCATCCCGCGCCTGCTGTCTCTGGCGCTCCAGGCAGCACTGCAGGGTGAGCGGTCCTTCAACTACGAATAATGACAATGTCCCCTTTTACCTCGTCTACCCACATCACGTCAGCTGACATTGAAACATTTCGTGCTTCCTATTCATGTTTGTCAGGCGAGGGGTCACCTGGTCGTCGTAGTCCTCTTCTGGAGGAGGCGGTCCTGTCGGCCATGGTCCCTGTCATCAGTACTTCCTGCTCCAGGCTGCAGCCCACGTCAGTACAAACTCTTATCTAGTTCCTGTCTGTTTCTCACATTTTCTTATTTAGTGCGTGTCTCAGATTTATTGAAGCACTATTAAGAGCGTTGTTGACGAGGTGTGTGCTGTTTCCTCTGTGGGTGTTTCTGTCGTCAGGCTGGCGGGACAGACGGCGTCGAGGGCCGTGTCTCTCTTCCTGGATGGTGATGTTTCCTTTTTGCCCGACAACTCGTTCCCTTCAAACATCCAGCTGCTCAAGGTTTGTACCTACATGGATTTGTGTACACGAGTGAGTATTTTGGGGGCTTTCATTTAAATATCACACCCCGAAATTCTTCATCATTGCCTCACTGTGCGGTTTATGATAATCAGATGCAAAAACACTTGAAGACGGTATCATAACTGTATTGCAGAATTATTATCTGTATACCTCGTGTCATCTATGTTTCCCACCACTCGTTTTGATTATCTTGGCAGCAGTTTTTAATCTCACTGTAACTTAAAAAGTGTGATCATTGTGATGTTTTCCCAGAAGCAGCCGGGGGACTCGTGGAGCCGGTCGCAGATGGTTTGTCTGCTCCTGGGATGTGTGTGTTCGCTGCCTCGCGGTGTGAGTCTCCACACTTACACAACACTTTATCTTCTTTAATAACCGTAGCTGTATTCTAAGTGCTGTGCGTGTCATTCAGGTGGAGGTGCCTCGGTTAGATCTCCTGATGACGGAGCTGGAGGAGATGAGCTGCACCTGCAGCTACCCGCTGTCATACACCGCGGCTGCAAAGTGCTTTGCTGGGCTGGTTAATAAGAGACCACAGGGTCAGTTTAGGGTCTTTACTAAATTTTTTTTATTCCCTCCAAAACAGAGAGCTTCACCGTGTCAACTAAAAGTCTCCGTGATGGTTTGCTTTCTTCTTCAGGCGATGCTCTCGACAGCCTAATTCAGAGGACCATGCAGAGAGTGTGTAGTGAGCTGGACTCTGCGTCTTCATCCGTACGCACTCAGGCCTTCACCCTCATGCTCTGGGTAAGAGTCCCACTGGTTTGTCATTTTACCGTCGGCTGTCAATCAGTCAATGAAGTTGATTGGTAACGTAACAGAAGTATAACTTATATATAAGTATGAGAAGCAGCAGGTGCAATAAAGTTGCTCTTGTCTCCAGGTTGCCAAGGCTCTGCTTCTCCGATACCACCCTCTGTTCACAACGCTGACTGACAAGGTAAAAACAGCTCATTAAATACAGTTGGACCTTGTGTTCTAATTAAACAAGGATAATCTTTCCATTTACTGTTCACGACGCCAAAACATACCGGACTGGACAAACTTGTGTTGTATTCCCCCCCCCC